CTCAGCTACCATATCAGCTCTTAGTTAATGATCTAAATATTTCTTCAAAAATCCAAGGATCGGACTCCATGAATTTCCTCGCATAAGAATTATCTTCCATGACTACAGAAGTTAAGAAAGGTCATAAATTTATCGTGGTTCGCCGCAAAGCCAAACACTACGCTACTCATAGATTTGAAACAAACAAAAATAAAAACGTTTTTCTCAGCTGAAGTCGATTTTGTGATAGCATGGCTACGGCTTCCAAAAAGTATTTGCCTTTTCGCGAGCAGTATTTCGCTACTAGTTAGTAGTTACTTTGCTTATGGTTTGTTGAACGGTATATTCCCTAACGCCTAAGTACCAGCCAAATAAGTAACAGTAATCTGACGCCAAAGTATCAGCCAAAGTATTCCCCCCTCCTCATTTTATCTGACTACAACGTAAAATTCAAGTCAGCTTGCTCTGGCTAAAATCGCGAGCAGGGACAAGCACGAATCTTATTCGCCCATACTTTCGAGCATTATATATGACCCTTTCGAATCAGCCCTACCTTCAAGAACGAGCTGTTATTTCGAGGCGGTTCAGGAAGGTCACAAGCCACGAAGAGGTCTCCTAACGACTCCGCTGCTTGGTCTGCTAGCTCAGAACAAATTGTATACTTTTCGACCTGAACGAAAAAATCAGCACATACAACATGCGTACAGAATGGCACACACCTCTGACGGGCTTGCCATATAAATTCCCAAACCATGTTCTGAGAAGGACATTCTCTGGCATATCCTGCAAAAATCACAATCAAGATGGATCGTCAAAAGAGGGCCGAACCCAGCACAAACACAAGCCCGGAACGGACCGAGTAACCATTCCATTTAGCAACGATTTAACAATGAACTACACTTCGGAATGAAATTTACACCTTATCAGAATGGTAAGACAAGCAAAACTTACACATCGTCAATATCGACCGAATGGGGCAAGAACGGTGACTGATGAAGTACCCGAAGTGATGGTAATGAGAGAACTACCATCTGTAACATCAGCATTTACTGTCAGTTCTAAATAAAAGGGAGAAAAACTACCTTTCCGTCAGCAGCCAAGCACATCAACACAGGATAACCTCGAACATGGCTAGCTTGGGCCTGGTAAAAGAAAGTAATATAGAGTTAGAAGATAAAAGAAAAACTACGATTTACCTTGACCAAAGGGATTTCATCACATTTGTAAGCGAACAGTTGGCTGAATAATGGCAGCGCTATTGCTTTCACCTCACATTCGGCGACAACTATCAAAGTCTGAAAGCAAAAGGTTTATTCTCCATTGTCCAGCTGATTTTGGAAAATCAGATCATAATGGTAATAACTGGCTTCAAGTGATCTTCAAAATTTTCCGCCTGGTGAATGATTTTACATTTTTCGGCTAGATGTTCAACCAAAGGATTGAAGTAAACAAGAGAGAATGGGAAGAGAGAAGCAAAGAAAGAGAGGAAAAAGCCTCTTGTCTAGTTTTTACGTACAAAAAATGCGGTTTTAAGGAGAAACATATTTGCACGGCTAGGGTCCTATTCTTGCCTGAAGTTAAATCTAACATAAAGGTGCGAATGCATCTTTGGTTATAATGTAGGAACGTATGCATTTGCAGAAAGCTTTTTCCAGAAAGCCTAGTTTTTATTGCGCCCAAAAACGGCTATTTCCGCAATATAATAAAACAGAACTTACTTGAGCTATTTCCTCGTTTATCTCGACTGACATCGAATATGTAGGCGCCAAACTCGATTTAGTCAATACCTGAAAAATGAACACAATAAAAAATACTTCAGTAAAGAAAGAAGCACCTACCCGATTGGAAATCGATTTCTCAGGAGTACCAGAATCCTTGCTTTCTTTGCTTGTTTCCCTATATGGTTCGGCACCACCGGACATAAGACAAAATGAGTGATCCATAAATGTTTGATAAATAATTTGGCCTTTCATCTTCACAACCGTGCCTAAAACATAAGCATTACCGCCTACTGAAGTACTTTGACACTGCAGGCTATTCAGTGTAGGTAAAACAGAAACACGATAATCTTGCACCGTATACGGTAACTTAATTTGATGACAATATCGAAACTACGGTATGTGATTGACGTGAAACTGTTCGCAACACATTTACTAGCTTCTAAGCTATAATCATGGTTACACTATATCCTATGTACATGCTTTTCAACAAATTCGAAACTAAGCGCTTTCTTAGCAGATGGTTAAGGCCGTAGCACAGTCATTTAGGTTTTTGGGAAGAAAATTGCGGGTTACTTCTGCAAGCTTTGGGAAGAGCAAAGTGCTTAAAAGGCACCGTCCTCCCAAACTTGAAGATGGTGAATTTTGATGATATATGATAGCAGAGCCTTCGGAAAAATGATCGTCCACGTTTCTCTGCAATAGATGAATTCCCAAGCGAGAAACTGCTCCAGAAAATGGAAGCGGCCACACTGGCTACACCCATCAACATGCTGTTCTGAAGCTAAGAAGTCCATATATGGGCATCAATTTATCCCATTCTCACAGATCCCTCTTCATCAGTGAATCTGCGACTTTTTTGTCCACGGTAGAGCCCAATTTTAAAAATGCATCTTCCGATTACCACATTAATGGGCGGAACCAGCGCGGCCGCTACTACCTTCTAGGGCCGTTTTCTTGTTTTCGGTGTAATTTATTATGGTCCCGCTATCGGACAACATCAAAACCTCGCCACCCCTAGTTTTGGGAGGACGGTGAAAACAACAAAGGGATGTGCAAGTGAGTACCGCTGAGACATTTAGCAAACGATGAGCAATTTCCTTTGCAAAATTGAGGATAGCTTGTCCATACTGCTGATATATGTACTTTCGTGATGTTGAAAAATGACAAAAAAAA